CCAACCCAATTTGCATTATTTTTTTAAACTTAATTGCCCAAGTCCAACCCAATTTGCTAGTAACCCTAAAACTAGAAGGACTATTTCAAATTTCTGAGATTTGCGAATATGCTTTGCGATTCCTTCTTTCCAGACTCTAGTCTCCTCTCCTCTCCTCTACACTGTAGCTCACTGGCTTTGTTTCTGTTATTCAATAGGTCAATTCCCTTCAACCTATCATTCTTGGCAACCTTCGAAAAGTTATGGCCATAGCTTTGTTTCTATTCTTTAGTCGGCTACTTGCAGCTTGACTGAGCCTGAGTTGTGAGTATTTGTAAGTATCCATGCTTGATGATTCATTTGAGGTGAAGCAGATCTCATTCTTTTAGCCTTATTATTTTCGATTTCATTTTCCCTCTGATTGTTCGCAAGATTGTTAAAATGTGATTTTTATTGTTTACATGCCTACGCGGCTTCTTTCTCATATTCGCAGCAAACAATAAGCGTATTGTTATTTTGAGGCTCATTCAAACTCTTAATTCATTCTATCTTCAGATAATTTCTCAAATGAAAAAGGAGCATCGAGTTTTATTTAGTGGGGACTCCGAATACTCGCAGGGAATAATAGGTCCTGCCGGTATGGGGATGGAGGTTATTTTTTATCCTCTGCCAAAAATCCTCGTAGGGATCCCCATACCAATCATTGACGGAGATGGCGATGGGGAGGGGGTCCTCGCCTTCGTAGAGACCCGTTGCCATCCCTAACGGTGAGGGTGGGGGGAGGTTTAGATGAAATTACCTCAATACCCTAAGTATTCAAAAGTGTAAATACAAGTAAGAGATTTCGAATTTGAATTACATAACATAAGAATGAAACGATGATATATAAGGGATGAAAAATAGTTGTTTTTTATTGTGTAATTAAGACAAAAAAATAATACATCATCAGTTCATTGGGCCCAAACAGAAATCGTTTGGACTACTAGAACTATTAATGGAAGAGTAATGATGCGGGAGCCGAAAGTGAGAGCCGAATTTGGGGGACGACAGGTGATGGGAGGGGTTATGTACGTGGTGCAATTACTAATTTAACCCCTCCCATCACCTGCCGTCTCCCAAATTCGGCTCTCACTTTCGGCTCCCGCATCATTACTCTTAATGGAATGGTCCAACACATGGCTCAATTGAACTCTTATGGGCCTCCAGGGTCTAAGCAATAAGCCAATTTGGTATAGGAAAACTCCTAAACGGTTTTTTTTTTTTTTCTCGAGAAATGTAATTGCATTTTACGATATCATATATTCCTATGCTAATATTTTCGACTTCTTTTCAAATTACTTTTTATTGTTCAAGTACTAATTATTCTTTCTTGAAGTGTCATTGAATTTTATTCATTACTGTGATTGATGCTGATGCAATATGCTCAAATTTATTCTTTAATAATCAAGAATATGATGTGTTAATATGTTTGAGAATTTGCGTCCATGCTTTTCAGGTTTAAATTCATTGGATAAAATAACATTATAAGATGTTTATGCCCCATGTTGTTAACCTGAGAAATCCTTTCTTTGTGAAAGTTTGCATTTTTAAC